TCAGGAGCGAGCAGGGCTCATTGATAGAGATTTAAACTAGATGTGTCAGGGAAGGAGACAATGTCAGGCTTGCCCCTGACAAGCTGTGGGATGACATATCAAGGTTAAAGGGACAGGGTGTAGGTGAGGGTCCTCAGCCAGTGGACCTGAGATGTGCTGGCCACACTGGAGCACATTTGATGTCTTATGGAGACAAGCCAGGGGCTCCTGAGGTAACAGAAGCCAAGAAACACCAGTGAAATATCTAAGTGAGATTAGAAAGTATTCATCCAAGAGGGCAGCATGAGCTGGCAGCTCAGCTGAGGTGCCTTTGCACCAGTACACACTGCGTGGGCAACAAACAGGAGGAGGAGGAGGAAGCCACTGTGCTGCTGTGAAGTTATAACCTCACTGCCATTACTGAAACTTGGCAGGACAAATCCCATGCTGGATTGCACCTATGGATGGCTATAGGCTGTTCCAGAAAAGTAAGGGTGGAGGGATTCCCCTCTGTTTCAGGAGGTGGACTGAGTGTAAAGTTCTGTCTCTGAAGAATGGGCATGAGCAGGTTGAACACCTGTGGGTAAGAATCAGACAGAGACAGCAAAGAGAACCTCATGGCTGGTATGTTCCACAGGCTGCTCAGCCAAGGGGAGACTGCTGACAAAGCAGCTGTGAGAGGCATTGTGCTTGCAGGCTCGTGTCTGGCCAGGGGCCTTGAACTCTGGGCAAGTAATGGGACAAGATGTGGGCAGTCCAGGAGACTCCAGCAGTGCACAGAGGATAACTTCTGAAGCCAGGTTATAGACAGCCCTACCAGAGGGGGTGTGATACTGGACCTGTGGGTTGCCAACACAAGTTAATTTGAGCTGTCAAGATTAGAGACAGCCTGCGCTGCAATGATCATGCACTCAAGGAGTTTGTAGTCCTGAGGGATATGGGTCAGGTAAAGAGTAAAGTCAGAATAATGAATTTTAGAAAAGCAAAATTCTAGGTTGTCAAGGATGTAGTCAATAGGATCTCCTGGGAATCTGCTCTGAGGGACAAGGGAGCAAAAGAAGCCTGGTGGATCCTTAAGGTTGCTTTCTGTAGAGCACAAGAACTAGCAAAAGGAGGAAAAGTTCAGGCAAAGAAGGCAAAAGACTAGAATGGGTTAGTTGGAACCTGCTGATTGAACTAAAGGGTAAGAAAGAAATCCACAGTCAGTGGAAGCAAGGACAGGTATCCAGGGGAGACTATAGAGTCACAGCCCAGTTGTGTAGGAATGGAGTGAGGAAGGCAAAGGCAAGGCTGGAGCTGAATTTCACAAAGGTCACAAAGAAAAAATAGAGAGCATCTATACGTCTGTCAGCCAGAAAAGGAAGGTCAAAGAAAGCATTTGTCCCCTTGATGAGCAAGGCTGGCAAATTGGTAACTAAGATGAGGAGAAGGCTGAGGTGCTCAAAAGTTTTTTGCCTCAACCCTCACTGGCGGTCTCTCTCCCCATGCCTCTTGAGTGAATAGACTGTAAAATGTGGCTGGGGGAACCCTCAGAAAGAATTAGGTTTGTGATCACCTGGGGAATCTGAGTATACATAAGTCTATGAGACCTGATGAGATGTATCCCAGAGTCCTGAGGGAGTTGACTCTACAGTTGCCAGGCCACTCTTCATGATACTCAAAAAGTCATGTAACTCAGAAAATGACAAAGAAAGTTCAGCTTTCCTGTATTTGCACAGCCTCTTACACTAAGGGCTGCATCTATCCCCTTGAGCAAGTAATTGCTGGAAATTGCATGCTTGTGTTTCTGTGTCATCAGGCTTTTCCTAGAGTTTTGTGACTACTCTCATCTGCCTTCCTATGATTTTGAAGAGTAGCCCTCTCTTGATAACTCCTGAATGACTGCTATAAATTAACTGTCATGGGCATTTGCAGGAGGATTGTGGCATGCTGCAAAATGGAGCTGCGTGTTACATTTTTGAGATGCTACACCACTGTGCATTCATCAAATTCTCCACAGACTGGAAAATAACCTTCTATTACTCCCACAAACAAGTGTGGAAAGTTGTCTGCTTTAATCCAAGGACCCCGCCTTCGCCTTGCTTTGCTCTCACAATTGCTCTGTGTCAGTCCTTGAGGTCTGCATTGTGAGACCTTCCTTTCTGCACCAATGGCCACTGCTGTTACTGAAGTACAGTTTAGGGCAAAGGCTGTGTAGTCAATGCAGCCATTCATTTGGAAGAAATTTAATGTTGGTGTTTTCCATGCTTGGTACTGCCAAGTGCCACGCTCCCTGATCCTGATTAGCAAAGCATTTGAACCTACACATAAAGCTCTCTATCAGTGCTCACATTGATTTCAGTGGAGCCAATTACACATTTAAGTTTTCAAAAGAAGCTAAAATTATTAGGTTGGGAGTGAGAGCACTCTCTTTCTGGAGAGTTAATGAATATGTAAAATTAATCCTTTTAGAAAAAGCAGCCAACCCCCATTCCCAGTTAAAAAGGGAGTTCATGATCTTTGCTCTCATACCTAAGGTGAATCAGACAAAAGTGGGAGCAAGTGCACAACACACAGACAGCAGAGTCAAATTTACACTGACATAATCATCCCAATTGGAAATTATAAGAGGCTTTCTTTGAAACCACTGTTTTTGTAGAAGAAACCTTAGTCTATATACAATTAAGTTTTAAAACCTGGCAGCCACTTAAGCCTCATAGCTGGTAATTTGAGGTCTTCATGTGAATGTATTTTCCTATGTCAATGCTAATTTATTTCTGGAAAAAAAAAATTACTATTATAAGAAGGATCTGTTTTCTGTGGGGTTTCTCTTGAAGTACAGGCAAAAACAGGGCTGAAATCTAAACTAAAATTGCCAGGCATAGATTCCAAATTGTAGGTTTCTTTGTCAGTAAAATGATCCAAGTTCAGGCCAGCCTAAAACATAGATTCTTCATCTGAATAGGATATTACCAATTACATCAATGAAAACCAAATGGGCAAGAAGCATTTGACTTCTGATGGAGTCTCGGTGATTTCCCTCTATCTTCCTGTGAAAAAGCATGCGTACCTTGGGCAGGCATATGTCAGTAAATAAATGCTGTTTGTGCTAACTTGTGTGAGCTAACTGGATTAAAGCATGAAAGTGGTTGCTAGAGACTTCCTTGTAACATAGTGGCAGATGAAGTATTTGTCACGCGCATTAAATGCCTATTTTTAAATATTTATTCCCGTGTTTATTTTTCTTTCAAATACTGCTGCAGTAACAAGTTACTTGTACTTTACTGGTGATTTTGTATCTTTCGCCAGTAGACTAAAACCAGCAGATATAAAAGGAAATCATGATAAGAAGCAAAAAAAAAAAAAAAAAAAAAAAAAAAAAAATTCCCTAAAAAGGGAAAAAGAATGCAGCTTTTCTGTATTTGCACAGTCCCTTGCACTGCTTAGGGCTGCAGCCATCTCCTAGCAATCATTTATCTTACATCAGTTAAACAAAATGTGCAGTACAAATGTGTTGCTGGGCACTGTGTCTGCAGGTGAGAAAGGGAGCATATGCAGGGGGATGCTGTAACATGCAGTTCCCAAAAAATCAGGTGTTGTCAGAGTGACTGTCTGCTCCTGACATCTTCCTGGGAGGTCTGTGGGAGAGGACTTTGGGAACCCCATAAAGCAGATCTAAACATGTGCTTTGCCTTGGTGGGGTGATGACCTTCTGTGCAGATGATTTTTCTCCTTTGGAGAGAATACTTTTAAAAAGGCAACAAGGGAGCTTCTGAGAAGCAACCCCAGCGTGTCTTGTTAGAGTGGGAGGGTTCAGGCAGGATTTGGGAGGGGATTTTGTGCCTCAAAGACAAGCAATGTATTTAACATCAGTGTAGCTGCTGACATTTCTGAGTTATCCAAGTATTTACATAGGCATGGAAATTGACAAGCTCTGTGGTCAAATGAGATGAGATTAAAGAACAAGTATATTCCCTGGAAAGTGATGTGCTGCTGGATAAAGGCCTAATTGGACACAGGCCCTGACAGCACTTTTAACTCATACTTGCAGCTTGGGAGATGAGAATTAGTATCAGAAATGTGATCTGTCTAATGTACATTGACAATAGGTTAGAAGGATCCTTTTCCTGATAGTCTGTGGGACAGTGTTTCATGGGACATGGGTGTCCTAGTTTGTCTTACTGTTTTGTGGTGTTTTGGGTTTTTAAAATTTATTTTTAAGTTTTCATTTTTTGTATCACTTGTTTCTCGCATTGCATTTCAGGTTTCTGTGACTCTTGTAGTCCATTTTACTCTTGGTTTTGATGTCTTTTGATGTCTTCACTATAATTTATTTGCTGTTGCCTCATTTTTCTACACATTGTTTCTTTTCCACTTTTTTTGCCTCCTCCTGCACTTTCAGCTTGTCATTGCACCCTTTTATTTTTATATGGAAGGCTGTTTTAGACCTTGCCCCAGAGAATAATTTTAAAATAATCTTGGACTGCTGGTATGTTTAAATGTTGTTTTATATTCTGTGATTTTTTGAATCAGCAGACTTGAACACATCAGTTTTACTTAGAAGTGTCTTTCTAGTTTTGTTATTTGAAACCAGAAGTGCTTTGGGAGTTTTTAGGTGCAGTGTCTCATATGTGTTGATTTTAAGCCTACAGGAAAATAAAAAGTTTTGGTCTATAAAACAACTAAATGTTCCTGCAAAATATTTCTCTGTGTGCAAATTGTCTTGTCAATCAAATTGTCTATCTACAGCTATCAGTTCCAAAGGGTACTACTTAATAATCTGCTTTACACAGATAAAATATCTTGTCTCAAAATTTCCAATAATTTAAAAATTGTTTTTAAAAAATATGGGAGACACATGAAGTCACATTTGTGAGAGTACAGCAGGATATCAAAAGGTTAAGTAACTTATCAGAGGAGTGGTAGTTTCAGCCTCCTGACGTAGTCCCAGAACTACCATTCTTTCCTAAGTAAGTACTTTCTCCAAGGATGCAAAAGCAAAGCCTCTGACATTTATTATTCTGGTGTGTGTCTGTTCCCAGGACATTACATTTCTGTGGATACGTCTTACGAGGGTGAGAAAGCAGTGCTGTCCAGCCCTGACCTGTACTCCGAGGAATGGAGCTGTGTCAGACTGATCTATCAGATAGCAACAACTTCAGACGCCTCACCTGATCCTGCCAGGCTCAACCTGTACCTGAGGCAGGAAGGAGAAAGTTTTGATCGTTTGCTGTGGTCAGCCAAGGAGCCATCAGACAGCTGGCTCATAGCTAGCTTAGATTTAACCAACAGCACAAAGAAGTATAAGGTAAGGCCAGTTAAAGAAGATGCCACAGGCTTTCTGGTGCAGCCCAGTGCATATGCTGGGCTGCACAAACTTCTTTTTTTAATATATGCAGACTATGAGCCCTATTCTTGGCTTTCATGTCTAAGGCTGGCAGCACAAGTCAGCTGAGCCCTCTGTCCCTAGCACCCATGAGCAGAACTGGCACGAGGCAGTGCTCTGACCAGCAGCTGCGTGGAGCAGCTCATGGGGACACACGGCCAGCTGAGGCCTTCCATGAGGATGCTTCATCTCCTGGTATCCCTGAGGAGCTGCTGGTGCCACATGGCAGATACAGGAACCCCCAGGTCCTGCGTCTGCAGCTGTGCTCACTTATTCCTGCCCTCTGTGTCTTTCTGGAAGGAGCCACATGCTGACAGAAGAGTATTTCTACCCAGAAACCATCATGTTGCATCACTCACAATAATGTCTTGCATAACCACAGCTGAGGAATATGGAATTCCATACTCTTAAATGAAGTGTGGGAATTTTTTGCCTTGTCTCATTGTCCTTCAGCGTGTCTTCTGTGGTTAAAGAAGAACACTGGCTCCATCTTTAATGCATTCTGCCAACCTCTCTCAGCAAAAGCACACCTGACTGTAAGAGGATGATGGTTCCCCAAGAAACATTTAATTTGTTCTCTTGTTTATCCTGTTTAAATATTCAAGGTACTAATGAAATTCTAAAATTGACAGTTTGGTTTATATTGTGCAGCTGGTACTGGAAGGTGAAATGGGACAAGATAAATCCACCAGTATAGCAGTTTTTGAAATCAAAATAACTTCTGGATATTGTATTGGTAAGTATTCTTCTCTCAACCCTCATATTCTCTGCATGGAAGAGAATGCCTTGTTGGCAGTTTTAAAACTGGATGGAAGATCTGTCTTTAAAAAAAAGACAATGGCTTTTTCCTAATTGAAAAGTACACTGCCATATTCAATACAGATAATTTTTAAGCTAAGAGTGCACAAACTAGTACGTGGGGCTTTTTCACCTATCTCTGCGGTATACACACACACACACATGCACGCACACACACACACACACACACATATATATGTATGTGTATTATATACAACAATATAATTCCAAATCTATTTATTGTTCAAGCAGGAACAACTGTTATATTTTAAAAAGTTTGCACTGCTTCAAATATTAGACATAACAGCTGCATGACTGTTTCTGCTCTCTGCCTGCTCATGGCTTCCTTACAAGTATCATCTTGAGGCTACAGACAAAAAACTGTGCTGATATATTTATATATATTTACACTTACTACCATTTCCTTATGATATTGGCTAAAAACTGCTAATGAAGTTCAAAAATTCCAGTGTCTAGGAGGCTAGGAGATCTTTACATTTCTCGAGAGCTCTGGTGGAGTCCAACCAAGTTGTCACAATTCTTTGGCTCTGTGAAAGAGACAAAGCAGTTGCATTACTGTTATAAAATACTTACCCTACTTTTCTTCTGGCCATCCCTGATTTACAAGTGAAAGTTCTGCTTTGACTATTTACTACAAGGAGGTGGTGTATTTAAATCTGCTTTGTTTGGTTCTAAATTACAGTAGTCCTATCCTGGCAAATGGTGAAAATACAGATTGTTCCAAAGAGGATGGAAATGAAAATTTTATCAAAAAAATATCAAAAAATTTGGATAGGTTTGCTTCTATTTATTATGAGCTCTTAAATGCTGTGTCCAGTTTTATAAATATAGGCATTATCTGCTCTGCCGTATGTGAAGTGAGGCCAGTGCTTAGCAATTTGCTGTTCCTATTTCTGTAATGAAAATGTGTGCACTCAGCTGGTGGTGTCTGCAATTGCAGAATGTGACTTTGAAGAAAATCATCTTTGTGGCTATGTGAACCGCTGGAATCCTAACGTCAACTGGTTTGTTGGTGGAGGGAACATTCGGAATTCTCAGTCTATCCTGCCCAAAGACCACACACTTAACAGTGCACTGGGTAAGCAACAAATGTAGACCAGAAATATAGTGGGAAAATCTGAGTGTATGATTCAAGTATGACTCTCATACTGGAAGTTATTATTATGCGAGTTGTTCCCATTGTGGGGTTGGGGTGGGGATGGTAAGAGTGATTTATGGGAAAAAAAGGGGATTAGAAAGAGGTTGGGGGATTTTGCAGAAGTTCAGACAAAATTGCTTGTAAGCTTTATAAAAAGGTTGTTACACTCTTTGCTAGGATTCAAAAGTACTCAGAGTAGAATTTTGGATGTGACAGCTGGAAAATTTAACTTTCTGTGTATTCTAAATGTATGGGCCACAGTAAATTTTAGATTCTTGTACTGCTGCTCTGTACATCTGGCAGGGATTTTTTTTCCAATGGCTGTTGAGAAAATCGAGTAGGAAAACTAAGGTATAAAAAAACATGCTTGGAGAATCTTGGGTGAAACTGTACAGTTTAGAAGTCTTGTTTCTTTCAGTCAAATGTGGTGCTGTTAGAACAACCCCTCAGAGACATAATGCTGGGAAAAATTATTGGAATTTTTGCACTTGTCTGGTATGAAATGCTTATCCTTTAACACCTTGCTCGGGGAAGAGATTTTTACACAGCTGTGAAGAAGGCTGTGGGATAACTTCACCCTTGCACAAAGTACCACAGCAGGTGATGGTCAGGATGTGGGGCTGGTGCTGCACACCATGTGTGGGGCTGCCTGATGCTTGTGGCAGTGCAAGGAGTCACATCTCATGAAAAGCAGGGTTGATCCTCTTTCCTTAACTCATGCCGCTGTGCCTTTTTATTTACTTCACAATTGTGTGAGTTGAGTACAGAGTGCACTCTCCATCTCTTTGTCAGCCCCTGGCACTAAAATGCCTGTAAAATTCTGATGGAAGTTTAAACTCACCACACCTTCAACAGCAGACAGTGGATCAGCCTATTGAATAAGTGCTATGACAGGAAACGCTCCCAGCTGGGAGGGATGTGTTTTCCCAGCTGGGAGGGATGTGTTTTCTTGTAGCCACAGCATTTCTATTTCACACCAAGCCCTCACTGCTGAGCAAGCCCTCTCTTTACTGAGAAGACTTCAAGAAGCCTAAAGTCACAGAAGAGCCTTCTTTTTGCAAGAATTGAGCTGCGAAGTTGCACCATCCAGGGAAATTGTAGGTAAACTATGAGATGTGCTAAAACTGCAGAACAAAAGTGAAGCTGAGAACCTTGCAGACAAGTATTGCTGAAGTCACCACTCCCTGGCAGTGGGCAATCTGGAGGAGACCCACAGCCAGGCAGTCCTTTCCCCTCCTTCCACCTGAGTGAAGCAAGAAGTGACATCTGAAGGTCTGAGAGTGCTCTGTGCCAATTGATGTAGTGGTGCTACTCAAACTGAACAGCACAGTTTGCAGTGCTCGTGCTGAAGTACCCCTCCAGTCTGACACTTCTGTCTTCTCCAGGCTTTCTACTTGTGAAGAGCCATTTTTTGTTCATCAAATACTGTTTGATGCTGTGCTTCTGGGAGTGCAGAAGAAGAAAAACTACAATACACAGCATGTTTGTGAATATGGATGTGTCCTGTTTAAATTGAGATAGCACTCCCAAAATCAAAATATTAGAATCTGTACCCTTAGAAAATCCTACAGGTCATTGGCTTATATTCATGATGGGAAGATACTCTCCTCAAATGTAATGCATTTTTCTGTTCATGAACATCTCCCAAAAATCTTCTTTAAGGATTTTACATAAAAACTCCAGTCCATGCAGTAAAAATAAGACATTTTTTATAAATCAAATCCTAGATACACTAAGCAGATATGTAAGGACTAAAAGCTATTTGACAATAATCTGATATATTAAATGAACTGCTTTGTAAAAGATGAGAAAACACATGGCTTACAATCCTGTTCATTTACTTGAATTGCTTCAGTCAAAGTTGCACTTAAGAGAGACTAAATACTACACCAAGGGAGATAACACGGTTGTTGCACATTTTTCCATTTATGAATGGCTTCCAAAATTTAGAGTTTATTATGTTTCAAATATAGATAAATATATTATTTCTAATAATAATAAAGACTTAAGAAAAGAAAGAGCTGGGACTGACTATTTTGCCAAGTGGTATCTTAGCCAAACAATTTTGGGCTGTACATAGGAGGAAAAGAGAGGAAAAAAAACTTTTAGAAGAACTAAAATTTTCTAGGAAGCCACCATTGTTGCTCATAGATATATATGTCTAGTCCTTGTTCATCTGCTGATACTTCTTGTGGTGTTCTTTAAAGAGTGTCTTATGCCAAATGTTTCTCTCCTTCTAGGTCACTACATGTACGTGGACTCTGTGTATGTGAAACATTTTCAGGAAGTGGCCCAGCTAATCTCACCAAGGACCACAGCCCCAATATCTGGCTGCTTATCTTTTTATTATCAGCTTAAGCAGGAAAGCAGCATTGTTTTTACTGTTTACCTGAGAGACATGAGTGGCTTTTATGAAGAGATCTGGAAAACAGACAGTGCACTGAATGCAGACTGGGCATTGGCAGAAGTCAACTTCAATGCGCCATATCCCATGGAGGTAAAGCAATCCTTCTTGCTCAGTCCAGCTGCGACTTCCAGATTGCCTCAGACATGAGTGCCAACTCAGGCCAAGCCAGGAACATAGCAGGCACCATGCAGTATCTGAAAGATAGCTGTAAAGATGTTGGTGATCTGTGATATCCTTTACCCTTTGCATAAAGATCAAGGAGGGATCACTTTCCACACTCATGCTTGATTTTGAAGACAGGGGGTTAGTGCTTGATCAGAGTATCTTGGGAGGTTGTAGAATCTCACTGATGGGAAGTTTTTTAGTTGGTGAATAATATCAAGGTTCTCTCCATTCCCTGTTTCTATGACTCTCTGATTCATTTTTGAGGATGCTGAATATCGTAAAATAATGCATAAGAAAAATTTTAAAAAATATTTGAGGTCTATTCTCCACCTTACTTAGATCCTGCAGTTCATGAGAGAAAGTCCAAACTTGGGTCCTTTGTACAGTAGTCCTTAAATGTGAAAGACAGCTCTTGATGGTTATTACAATGACTGTCAAGAGTATCAGAAAAAAATTGAATATTTTATTCCCTAGTGTTTTCTAAAAAGTACCCCAAACTTAGAAGACTGAAATAAACAGTGTATGTATATTATATACAAACACATATACTTACATATATGTGTATTTTACACATATATATGTAATTTTTATATATATACAAACATATACTCTCTCTATACATACATACTTCTAATACATGGATTACAGATAAATTCTACTCACTTTAATTCTACCCAAGTTATTTGCTAATTCACCATAACCCTGTAGACTTCCAGAAATTACTAGGGGTAAAGCTAATTTTCATGAGATATTATGTAGGCCTTTTGCACTCTATAAAGTCAGTGATAATCCATTCAAATCATCAGACTTCACGGGAAAGGAAGGCAGCTCTCAGAAGGCTTCATAATACAAAATGGTAAGTGAATTACTGATTCACTTAATATAAACTAAATTCATGTTTAAAAAGGGGAAAATCAGTCCTAGCACTATCGATGGAAATTAATTAATGATCACTTAGAGCTTGGCAATACTGTCGTTGAGTTTGTGAAAATATCCTCTCATTTCCTGGTGGCATTCAAAAATCCATCCAGAATGTTGGAAACTACCCATAAGGGAATAAATAGCAAAACACGGGATGTTGTACTACTGGGTAAATGCACAGCGAAACCTTATGTTCAGCAGGGTATGCAACTTCAGCTTTCTCAGTTAAAAAAAAAGAGATTTAAGAAGATTAAAACAAGATTAAAAAATATTGTCCAAGAGGGACATGCAGATAATGAAAAGTACGGAGAAGTTACATCAATGAAATAACAGTTTTCAGCCCTTAAAAAAAAGATGGAAGTAAAATATGTTAGATGTTCTTAAGAGTCATGAAGGACACAGAAAAGATTAACTGTTCCCTGTTTCTCTTAGTAAATTCTTAGTAAATTCTTAGTTACCATGTAACAGTTTTAAAATAAAGTGAACAGAGGGTCTTTTCATATGTGATTCAACCACTTCCACAACATACCATAGATACCCTTATTAAGATCAGTTAAAAAACTGATTAGAAAAATTAATGGGAAAGGAAGAATCCATCAGGAATATAATGTAAGGGAAGAAGAACTGAAAGCCTGTAATTGTCTTCAGAGCACCTGTAGGTGCTCTCTGCTGGAAAAAAGGCACTGAGCTAGACAGGCCTTTAATCTGCTCAAGAAATTTCTATGTAATTTAACACAGAGATAATTTTATAGAGATAATATTAAACCTTAACACATAAATTCTTTGGTTGCTTCGAGAGGGTGTTCTTCTTTGTTTCATCTAGCTAAAGGAGATTGCTCAGGATTCTTTCACTAGCTCTCCTAGTCTGCAAAACATCACAGGCATTGCTTTCACTGAAATGAATCTCACTCTGAAAGCTTTTGTCCTTATTTCCTGGCTTTGTCCCTGGGGCTGGCTCTCAAAGTTTTCCTGTATCTCAGACCTTTGATACTTAAGAGAAATTTTAAGACACATCCTCAAGAGTTATAGATGGTCCTCCACTTACTTGAGGAAATTATTTCCTCTGGGAATGACTAAATACAATACATTGTTTGATCTTTGTGGTAAACAAAACACAGCAATAGCTTTTCTGGCTCTTAAATAAATTCTATACAGAAAAGCTTCCCTGACAGCTAATGCCAAGTCATGGGTTTCAATATCTGAGGATATTTACAGAAAACTATAAAATTTAATCTATTAATAGCAGAGTAATGAACACAGAGGGTTTTTAGCTCTTGATCCAGACAGATTCTAGATAAAACCGGAGGTTTAGTCAGTACAGACTGATGATTGTGAATAGTGGTTTTGTATAATACAGTGGCAGAAGCCTTACTGCATCTTTAAAAGTGGTGCTTCATAAAGCAGAAGAGCTATATTCCTTTTGGTGTTTCCTTGACCTGGAATGAGCAACGATCTATTGCTAAGGTCAGGCTCTGATTTATATCCCTAATAAGTGATCTAATTTAATTAGTCCCAACACTTTCAGCACTATATGAGATGTGCTGGAGTCTGTCTGGGACATTCAGTCAGAATTCTGTATTTCAAAGATGTGTACCAAAATTATTGCTGAGTATATGGCAGATGAATAACAACTTACTATAATTTCTAGGTAATATTTGAAGTGGCTTTCAATAGCGCCAAGGGAGGTTATGTTGCCCTCGATGACATTTCTTTCTCTCCAGTTTACTGCAGCAATCAGACAGGTATGATGAGCTCTTGCTGCTATTTATCTCCCTTGTTTCCTCCCTCTGCCTTGCTCCTCAGAACTGTCTGTCAGTATTTGCAGTTTTGGTGCTACCTTCTCAGCTGACCAGCACCACTGGGCTCCTCTTCCTTCAGAAGACATAACAGCACATAACACCTGTGCCATTCATTTTTTTGGAAACAAATTCTTAATGCTTCCTCTCCAAAGACCTTGCCCCAGGGTTCTGCAGCTGGAGTGCTGGACTGAGTACTGTATTTGCATCACTACTGATTTTAAGAAATTAGCACTTGCAGGCTTGTCACAGAAAGAGAGGGCGGATTTTCCCAGGTGTGATGGTATGAGGAAGAAGATGCCCTGGGCTTTTCATTAATGCCAGTGTAGGCATTCTTCATGCCACATGCCCTGAGGTGTTCTACAGAGCCAAAACATGAGCTTTGTCTCCCTGTCTTCACTCCTCCAGGAGGTATTACTCATCTCAGGCAGGGCGTGTCTGTCGAGTATTTGTTAGGTTTTCACAGCAACAGACACCACCTGAATCCCTGTGACCTCTGATGTAGAGGCACTTGGGACAAAGGAGATTGGCATTTGAGCATGCAGCCTCTTAAGTAGCTGGTTGTTGGCATTTTACTCTGGCACTAAACGCTAGTCAAAAGTAGATGCCATCTTTTCCTTTGGTCAGAAGTTTGAATTTTTTGGCAAATTCTTTAAAGTGATCAATGAAAAAAGGGCTGTTGTTTCCCCTTTTTATCTCAGAGTATCTGCTAACTCTGCCTCCACCTCTGAAGTATCACTGCTGAAGGAGGTAGATTCCAGATACATTAATCATTAATAATCCACATCTCCTGGCTGGGTAAATCCATTGTTTCATTATCTCCTCAATAACTTTTTGGTATTTGCTTTATTTTGCAACGAAAATCCTAAGTTATGCTTGCAATTTTCACGGGGTTGGAGCTGCTTATCTGTTTTTTCCATTTTAATTTTCAGACAACTTATATCTGTTGGGAAATGGGATAAATTTTATAGCATTTTCTGCCTCAATGGTTGAAGTTCAGATCTAATCTGAATGGATCAGAATCTGTTCTGAATATGATAGGTTCATCTAGAACTCTGCCTACTAACTTTGATTTTGAAGGTTGGTTTTGTGGTTGTTTTGGGATTTTTGTTTGAGAAATGAAAGTAAATTATTTGCTTTATACTCTTTTACATACAACATATACAACATATACTGTTTGATCCTTCAGACTTATCAATTATTGTGATCTTCAATTCTTCTGAGTAGAAATGTTAAAAAGCAAGAGCTCTCCATTCTCCTTGTATTTGGCCATAGCAGTATATATAACAGCACTAAGTTTTTTCTTTATTTTTTTCTGGAAGTTTTGTTCAACAAAAGTCTTGATGTTAGGAAATGGAGGAAAAGGTACCAGAGTACTAAACTTGCTCAGCAAAGGCTGAGTCAGAATACGGGTTTAATGCCACATGTTAGTGCTCCAGCTGCCTTTTCTTTAACTAGGAAAGCAGAGGTGGGAGGCCATGGCTGCAGGAAGAGTTAAGACACATAGGAGGGCTTAGATTTGGCCTATCTGAGACTGAAAAGACCTCAGGCATCACTCCAAAGCCACAATTTTTGTTCTCCTAAAGCTGATAGCCTGCGTACCTGCCACTGGTGCAAAAGTTCTCTTCGTCTCCATGAAGAAAGGTCATATGTGCTACTGTAGAGTGATGTACACAATGTCCTGTGTCTGGGCTCCTGGCAAAGCCAAAATTTGCAGGATAGCTTTGGGTTGTGCCTCTCCTTCCCCAAGCACCTTCTATAAGCACCTTCACCTCACTTATGGTGAGGCCTTTGAAGAAGTAGAAATGTTTTACTTACTAGCATGGCCCATATAGCATTTTTTCAGACTGAGAGGCAAGTTCTGACCAAGAGAAGAAGAGAATTCCATACTGCAGGTCTAGAGAGAGCCATCTGCAGGGCTGGGCGGGTCTTAGCTTTGCTTTTAATCAACTTTACTATAAATGGTTCAGCTTTCTTCTCTGCAGTATTAGCATGGTGTGAGGCAAGCTCCAGAGCAAAGTTGCCAGGAGGTGGTACAGGAACTAAAAACTGTTTTGCTTATCTACTTCCAACATGCACATGCACACACGTTACACGTAACTATAAAAAGGATTTTTAATAAATGCTCTTTAAAAAAAATACCAAGTGTTGATGTTCAGTGTACACACAGGCACATGGACACACTCATTTTGTCCAATAGTCTTTTGAATGAAGGAGCAGATAAAAACAAATGGTCTGAATATCTTTGTGAATTACCTATCCTGGAGGAAGAATCTGGTCTTAGTATCTGGAGCTCATTTGTGTTTTAGGGGGGCTGTGAAGCAGGGTTTCTCCTGGCTCCAGCAAAAAGTATAAGAAGATAAGACCAACTTGCAATAGAAGTTTGATAGTTTGATTTCATCATGGCTGTCTGCTATATGTGTAAAATCTTTGCATGTGCTTATCTTCGGTAAAGAAAAGCAAGATGAAGCAAAGTATGCTTTGGCATCCTTCTGCATCAAACCTATGTTTATCACACTGTACTCATCCTAACAGAACATATGCATCTTTCTTTTAGGAGCTCCTTTCAATCCTGCCAATGCAGGCTGCAATTTTGAGGAAGATCTGTGTAATTTCTACCAAGATCACAAAGATGGCCCAGGATGGAGCAGAGTGAAAGTGAAGCGCAATGTGTATAGAGCAGGAGATCACACTACTGGATTCGGTGAATCAAAACTGCTTTCTCCTAGAAGAGTCAAACTATATATAAGTATTGTATAAAAGGTTAAGGTTAACCTATTGTATCGTTGTTCACTCTCTTAGGTAATACCACTGCCACAATGATTAGCTTGCCTCAGTGCAACTCTCTGCCATTAAAGATCAGTGCTCACAGCTTGGTCCTGTCTGGAGCTCTGGCTGTGCTCCCCTATGTGTAGAGGACGAAGGTCACCTATTGAATAGTCAGGCAGGACCACAAATCAGAGTATCTTCACTGTACTGCTCTGTAGTTGCTGGAGGGATGAATCCAAAAAAATATGGAAGTAAATGTAATAATAGGTTAATGCATTTTTTTTAGAGAGCAAAAGTGGTCATTTAGCTCTTCTAGGCTTAGAATAATTGGCTTTTTTAAGGGAGAACATAAATATTATGTAGTGAAACCACATGATGAAAAGACAGTTAATAAATTCTGAAATTCAGACATCTCTTTGAGTAGAGTATTTATGGTTATTAAGCATATGCACTAAGGTCTCAGTTCTTTATACATGGTGCAGGGAATAATAGGCCTTGTACCACACCCTCCTTTTTTTTTTTGTCTCACAGTGGTAACCCTGAAAAGCCCAGTTTTCCAGTGAGGCCAGCAACCCAGGGAATTTTTTGGTATAGATTTGATAAGTGCTTATTTCTGGTAACTTAGCCATGTGCTAGTTTAGCTAGAAGCAGACAGGATGCTTTAGGAAAAAAATGGTTATTTCCTGTCAGAGTGTGATAATCTATTTCTTGCCAGTTGGAACTGTTTTTATAACCCCAGTCTGATGGAATAACAGAAGCTGCTTTAATAGCAAATTAGATGTACTAATACCATATTAAATACAATAATTATGCTTTCTTGCAGGCTATTATTTGTTGGCAAACACAAAGTTTACATCACAGCCTGGATACATTGGACGTCTGTATGGCCCGACCCTGCCAGGAAACTTGCAGTTTTGTCTGCGTTTTTATTATGCCTTATATGGGTTTTTCAAGATGAGTGGCACTCTTGCAGTTTATATCTTTGAGGAGAATCATGTTGTTCAAGAGAAAATCTGGTCTGTCTTGGACTCTCCAAAGGGAGTCTGGACTCAAGCTGAAATCTCCTTCAAAAAGCCTATGCCTTGCAAGGTAAGACTCTTCAAATTTCCCGAATTCTGAGAGGAGATTTTCCTTGCCTTCTCAGAGTTCTTTGTTATAGGATTAATCCTAAGTGAGCTATACCTGCAAAGTGAATTAGCTGGAGATTTCACCAGAGGAGCTCTAACAAAAGCCATTTGAGTCTTAGTTTCTCAGCATGCTCCACATCCTCTCATTTTTGTTTGCTTGTTTCCTATGTGAGTCCTATCATCATTGCACTCAATTGCAGATTTTAATTAATCTAAAAAGTACTGGTAAGTTCTGGTCAAAATGGGGAGCTGATCCTCCTTCCCTAAACTCAACTGCTGGGTTACAGTATGAAACTAGAAGTCAGTGTAAATGAGAGCAATGGACTTGAAGAATTAGCAGTGTCTCCTTGGAGAGGTCATTACATCATCTCAGCACATCAATAACACATTGATACTTGACATCACCTCCTGAGTTAGTCCTTAAGCCATTGTAATTCCTTATCTCCACTCTTTTTTCAAAGACTGACTTTTGCACAGATTTCTATAAGTGCTACTTCTGTATTTATCCTGATTTCTCTAACAGATTTTCACTATCAGTGAGTCATCTACAGAGAACCAGATGGATCACTACATGTTAACCAGAGTGTGACAATATGTTGAACATTTGAATGAAAACTTGTCTTGCAACTCTCAGTATTCCTAAATTAAAGACAAACATAAATATTTTCTCCACTAAAAATTAGTTTTTGAAATAACAGCAGTTACTTACCATAAAAGGTCAAAAACCAGCTGCCTAACTCTGTTGACAGGCAAATTTACATTTAAAATTTCAGTCCTAGTTGTTGGGTAGTGTTTTATGTCAGACACCTGGTATCTTAAAGTTTCAATGGGTTTTTTATGTACTTTATCCATAAAACATAACAGAATTTGTAATTCAAGTGTTAGAGAATAAAAAAATAATTTTATTTGTGCCCAGCAAGTGCATACTAGAAAAGTTTCTCATAGTATCATCCCAAGATACTTGTAGAGAAGTTAAAATCATAAGCTTATAATTTACTTTTGTCATCTCCTGTTTAGGTATTTCTTTATTACTTCTGGAAGGGTTTAGTGGCATAATCAACTGCATGAGTACTGATGACATCTGAGCATGACTGTTAGAACTGGTTGACAGTCTTGGAGGTTGCAGGTTTTTAGCATCAGACATATACATGAAAAATCTTTTCCAGCATGAATTTGTGAAGAACAATTTTTGTTTTCCTAGAAGTCAGGATATGTAAAACAGTTGTGAGGAAGCTTGCCTCACTGCTTCTGAGTCTGAAGATGTGTAGGAGGGGGAGAAAAACTATGCTCTGCAGAATGGTTTATTGACCTCTGTCAATTCTTAAAAACCTTCTCTGGATGCTTCAGGTCTTGTGAAAGTCTTCCTTCCCATGGAAACAAGTTGCAAAATGTTTCTGTTGAGGAGGCATTCCTCAAATATCAGAAAATATTAGGAGATTTATTGGGCTTTACATAAGTCAGCATGTGTTTAGCAAACCATAATTCAGGCACCCCTTAGCTAAATAACTATGTATTTGTATAACTATTGTATAACTATGTATATATATGTTCAGTTCATAAGGTTTTCCTTAGATAAACAGAACAAAATGGGTTAAGTTCTGAAACATATTAAATGGAAAAGTACATCAAGGTATGTTTACAGATGGGAAGGTAGCATAAAAAATACAAATATTGCCAAAGTTTAAGCATGTCTGCTTAAGGCAGAGGGTGAAAACCTGGTGTAGTTACAGGCTGTCTGCTCATAATATTTAGAAGTAGGCTCAAATGCAGTTGCACAGGGAATTTGATTCTGGCTTTTCCTTGCAATCTCATGTCCAGCTCTTCAGGCTTAATACTTTTAAAAGTCTTTTCATGCTTTATTTTGTTTGTTTCTTCTTTTCCAAGGCAACAGAAGGAAACAAAGTATTACTGTGTGGTACTGTGTAAACACTCAGGTTAGTTATCTGTGAAGATGTGTCTGCCTAGTAGTGAAATAGCTGGCAAAAACCACATTACACATTTCAGTGTAGGGCAGCTGTGGAGGTGCACCAGAGCATGTTTTGGCTGGTAGAAAGGAGTGGTAGGAACCAGCAAGTAAGGGATTACACTTCTGGCTCTGGAGGGAGACAGTGCTGAGAGACATGACAGAAGCTTGACCTCTCTTGTCCTGTCTCCTGCAATCTGTCCTGATGTCTCTTGCATCCTCACTGAGGCATCTTTATTTTATCCAACCTGTCCCATAGGCAATGAACCACCCCTCTGCCCCCCACCCCAGTCCTCATCTTACTCTCAGCTCTGGACAATCCAAGTTTTTTTTTTCCTGTAATATTATTCATGTTCCATTCTATTTGCCCTGCTTGTCCCATTTATTACAAATTTTAGTTTCTCAAAAACTAATGACTTGACAGAAAAGATAGCCCTGGCATAAAGATCAGACTCTTGACACTTTTCTGCTTCTACTCCAAAGCCTTGGAGTGCTCAAGCTTTTCACAGATTTTTTTTGTTTAATAGGGGCAAAATAAGCCCTTTTTCCTAGCCTTGTTCTTGGAAATGATGGAACTGTTTTGGATTAAATCTTCCAAAACAAGGCTGTACCAAGGACCTAGCATGGAAAATCTGCGCTGAGATCATTGTGTCTTGGCAATGTTATAGACAAGTGAAAAACAGTCTTTCAGTGGAGAGAGGTGGTCTCAAAATAAGATAGGGCTGCCACCTTTCCTCTAATACAGACGTAGTGACTGATGAGCCTATTTTATTTTTTCCTGAGATGTATTACATGTAGACTTGGGTGATAAGAAGTTGTACAGTAGTTTGGCTGAGCATCTTCTTGTTTACCAGGAGCCACTTTTGGATCGGGTCAGCCCATGTGGAAACAGTAAACAGTCTCCTGGCACTTCCTTAACAGCTGGTCAAGTCAACGATAATGTGTCCTGACGGTCAAAATTATTTTTTCAGCCAGAAAACAATTGCTATAAAATAACCAATAACTCACATCCTTCATCTTTTTTCTTCTACAAATACTACTCCCAAAGCTTTGAAAAATATATAAAATCCATCTAATACATTTTAGTTTTGATAGCATATTTGTTTGCATCAGGACAATAAAAAGATGCAGATTTTCAGTTCTTGGTTTCTGTAATGGTTTTTGCAAGTTCTTTTTGAATTAGCTAACTGCAGTCTGGCACAAGTTGATGGTTTGAGTTCTGTGAGCAGGAAATATGAAGCTGGCCAGCTGGCTTTAATATGACATTTCAAAAATAAAATGTTTTAAAGGCTAGGCAGGTATGATCCAGCTAAGCAAGTCATAAATGTCTGTACCTACATATATATATGTGTGTTTGTGTGCATATATATTTATATTTATATATATGTGTGTGTGTGTGCACATACTGTAAGTGCACATGCTGATAATGCTAGTGAAAAGGCAGGGAATTTAAAATCCTGATTTCCTAATTTGTACTTTCAGCACTGTCTCATAATACTGATTTATACTGTACCCAGGGAATCAGTGTGAGAAGAAAGAAATAAAAAAAAAATTCTAATGTTTTTTGACATCACTTAAATCCTTCATGGTTTATTGTATAAGCCTCTTTAAGGGCTGCATGAAAACCTAAATCTGAATTATATAGATTATTTTCAGTTGATAGAATGTACTGAAATTGATCTTTCATACCAATACATGTCAGAAAAATGTAGGAGCTAACTGGAAGAAAATTTGACATATCATTTGCATCCTTGAGAAGCTCACACGAACTGTGAAGCAAGAATCTACATGTTAATATTGTGTGTATGTGTGTGCGCGCGCACATATGTGCATGTGTATGTGGGTAAACACCAGCATGGAAAAATATTTTTCTTATGCAACTTCACAACAAATTCCAAATACCTAGATTAAAATGAAGGTTTGAGTTCAGTTGGGTCTGCTTTTATCAATTCTGCTCATTTTTGCTAGATTTGGGTTACCATTCTGAAGCTCAGGTTTCTGAAAGCAAACATCGTGTGGTTTTTATCCATCATGTAAGCTTTTGCATTATTACCTGATAAAATAGTGCTTGAACCTCCCAAAGAGTTCAAAATCAAATCCTCAGAAAGGTAATTGGCATAATAGTCTATTCTACTACCCTATCTAGCTGTGGCTACATTTTTGTTTTTTCATTGCATAAGTATTCTCTTATTCCTCTTTGATGGTTTTTTCTTCACTCTCTTTACTTGAGTTCATCTGCTTGCTTTCTCTTATCCTCCATAAGTAATTTTAGTTGCAATTGTGAGAAAGGAAAATCAAGTGACTCTGTGTTGCACTTGAATATTTACATGTTTTAAAACAAAGAAAAGAGAAGACTTTCTCAAAACTTTCCTGCAAGATGCTGTGGAGGCCAATAGTAGACATATATTTTAAAAAATTTTTTTAAAAAAATGGAAAATAGACCTCACAGTGACTGTAACCACAGTGGTCCAGTTGTGACCTCCAGTTCAGCAAGTTCTTCAGCTTTTTTTGGGTTGGACATAATATAAAAGCTTTAGGGCTGGTTTCTTTCTTGTACTGTTTTCCCTAAATATCTATTATCACCCTGCTGCCTTCTGATGCCGGCAGTTTATATATAGACACAAACGGGATGGGGCCACTGGGATCAGTGTCGTGAGCCAATTTATTTTCGGCATCAAGTCTCTTTACATGGTTATAACAATTGAGAGGAGAGATGCTAACAGCTCGCTGGTCCAGCAGGAAGCCAAAGAAACTTAATGTTACAAGATACCATAAATGCGTCTCAGCCAATTACATAGAGTAAAAGCATACTGACAGTAGTTCTATCCAATCACCTTAAGCACACGGAGCTTTGGTTGAAACAATAGTAGCCTATTCTCAAACACAATAGCTCATTTATAAGAGACAACGAATAAAGCTCTATACATAAGCATAACCTTCTAGATATCTACTAAATAAACTTGCTGCAACTTAGAAAGCCGAACTACACAGCTCTATTG